TAGGGAAGGTAACGGAGAGCCTTGGTATTTTCTAGGAGGCAGAGGTTTGGGGAAACACTGCCCCATTACATAAGCTGCGCGTTTTCCACACGCGGATGATGGACAGATGCGATTCATCAGGGTTCGTTCTAATGCTGGGAACTAGAGAGCGGTAGAGCAGAGAGGGGGATCAGCCTGCGCCGGGGTCCGAGGGCAGGGAGGCGGCTCCCGCCACGCACGGAGGCACCGTCCAGCCGGTACGGGTGCGCACTGCCTCCTGTACAGGCGGTCAGGTGCCGGCGGCGGCTTTCACGCCGACCAGAATTTGTGTGGTTCTCGCTGGTCAGTTCAACTGGCCACCGAAATGGTGCTGGTAGGAGGTACGAGTTAGCAATGAAGTGGCTGAACGTGCCTTGCTGAAGACTTACCCAAGACACGGCTGAGATGGCACGAGGGCAGGAGAAACCCCATGTTCTAGCAAACAGTGAAAGCACATTAACCGGGTTATTTGCAAGAGTAACATCTGATCAGTCGTCTTCCTCTTCTGCCCTTCTTTTTGATAAATGGCTTCCAAACAAACAAAATGTGAACTGAAAAAATAGGATTCGTGTCTCCTCTTTAATACGAGACTTGCGATCCGCTGCAGCTTTTCCTGTTGAAAGACCGAGAGAGACTGAAATTGCGTGCCTCGCACACCGAGCAAAAACCGCCTGGAACCGACCCTTGCTACCAGCACGGTTTTTCTGTCATGGATGTGGCGCGAGTGCTTCCCTCCTGTTTCATAACTGAGCAAGCAGGCACAAGTGAGGGGCCTGGTGGGTGAGCTTCATCTGTGGGGGAGGCAGAGAGGAAGCAGAGCGAAGGGCACAGCACAACAGGGGAAAGGCTCCACACCCCCAAACATCTCACTCCGCTCCCCCGTCACCAGCTACAGCCCTCGTATACGCCAGCCCGTACGGTCACATGCCTCTGGTGACACGACCACGCGTAGACCAGCCCTGTGTGCCTACAGAGAAAAAAAGTCAAGAGCGCTATTGCAAAGCTGCTTGTTCATCTGGTCATGGGAAAAAAATGTGGAAACCTGGTATGGGTGCGTGCTGAAGACTCAAACCCCAACATGCCATGAAAAGAATCGCCTCCGGACAGTGCAAATATAAAACTGTGATTGTGACGTATAAGAAAAACACCTGCTCGTCATGAGAACCCGCATCAGTTTTAAGGAAAAATTTAGATTCCCTGGGTTTCCCTTCAGGGCCTGAGATACTGCACCCAAGAACACTGATTGAAGTATAACGCAGGATTGGAGCCAAAGGGACTTCTACAGTATCCAAAACATAAAGCTACAAAACTGAGGCCTGGTGTGACTTTTTTTCCCCCAACATGTCTCTCTCTAACTTTTATACCCCAAATTATTTGTATGCATGATGTAGATGGTGTGGATGCAGGCAGATAATTAGTTGTGTCCAAGTCCCAAATTCATCAAATTACATAATTACAAATGACACAATGAGACATATTGGCTTACAGGAATAGGGTTCTAATGACCTAAAATATGTCTTCAAGGGCAATGGAAAATGACGGTCCTTTTGTTTCCAGTAAAGGGAAACTATTTTAAGTGAAACTGTTGATTTTGCATTTGCCCCGAATTTTGACCAGTGCTACTGCAGTATTTATGTACCATTCTGTACTATTCTGATAGAAATGAGTAATTTTTTTCTACATACAGCCCAGTGTTGGGCTGTAACTGTAACTGTAAGTTGTTTGAAAAAAACACCTGGAAGCAACTGTGAACTCATAAATATCAATGCAAGTTCTGAATATTAAAAAGAAGTTGTTCAGTTGAAAATGCTGAGAATCCTGAATGTTGCCCAAAGACTAGTCTGGAAAAATAACAGGTCAACACTAAATATTAATTGCTTTTTCTGTATTTTGCTCCAGAGATTTGACAAGGAATATAATTTGGAGATACAGTTTGGATTGAAATACTTGAGAACATTTAATACCGTAATCAAAAATCATTAACTCACTGCATTTTAATGTGGAATAAGCAGTTGTTTTCCTTCCCTCTTTTATTTATTATAAACAGAGAACCTTTGAGGCATGAGAGAGGCATTCATATAGGAATGCAAGGAATCTTCCTAGCGAAGGAGGAAATCAAAAAATAAAATACCAGAAATAGAGTTTGATTAGTTGAACAGTAAAGCAAGCAAGCTGGTGCCCACTTTCAGCTTTTCCCTCCTGCCTCCAAGATAAGAGGGTATTCAGAAATTTAGATGCAAATAAAAATGTTAACAGTACAAGTGTCCAGCTGAGGTCCCATAACTGTCTGAATAAATTGTTCATTTGTGTCACCACAAAAGGATCTTGAGGAACTGGCATGGCTACTTCCTGTAGCTTGAGACGAGACAAGACCTCCATCTCCGGAGCGGATGTGGGGAAAACTTGCCTCAGACAGATATGCAGCACTCTGTGCGCTTCTACTAACACCAGTGCCTGCTGAATGCTAAAAATGGAAGTGCAGCTAGATATTTTGCATTAAATTTTCTGTCTCCCCACTTACAAGTAAGATTTAGGGAGGAGATAAAACAAGAATAAGAGGAACGATGTGTGCGACCTTTTTAGGTAATTTTAACCACTCTACCCCTCAAACACCGAAGTACCAGCCCTCCTGGTGGAAATGCAGATTGATTCACAGTCAACATGTTTGGCATGGAAGAAGCTGCTGGCTGGTAATAGAAAAGTAAGCTAATCCAGATTTCGTACTTCATTACAACAGATTATTTCAAAATCGGTTTACCTTAAACATGTTTGCTAACCACTTTCCAGTGTACATTTTTGCATACTTTGACAAAAACATGATACTTTTCAGGAGACTTACCACTACTCATTCCCTCGGGGAGAAATGCAAATAAACAGGCTCGCCATTCGAGGATAAAATCCAAGCCCTGTGCAAGTCACTGGAGATTTCACCACTGACCTCAGCGACGTCAAGATGACATGAAACCTGCTGAAAGACAAACAGACCTGAGGCAAAAGGAAGAAGCTGTAAAATGCAAGGCCCATCAGTCTGATTCATTCAGAACCCCTTTGTAAAATATTCTTACTTATCCTGAAAAAATACCTCTAGTAATAACATATCTAAATAATTGCAGCATAGTTTCTGAGATCTAGGAACCTTAATTATGTATTTTTCATTTTCCTTTTTTTATTTTCTGCATTTCCTATTGTTTTCATGAAACCATTTGTGATACTTTAGGAAATTTTTTAATAGTTTTTCCTCTGCCTTGTGAATTTGAAAGCTAACTGCAATGAACAGCATCTACGGGGGTAACGCAGTATCAGCTATTTCTGAGCAAGTTAAAGCAGGACTTTCAAAAACAGTCAAGGCAGAAAATGCTTTTTTTTGCTGAAACTTCAATTTCTAAAATCATATGACTTTTCTGACTTGAGAATGAAAGAAAACAGGTACTTTCTGCTCTTACACAACAGTAGGTTTCCTGACAGCATTACTTCCTCATTGTGAAATGCAAAACAAAAAGAGTTGACACAACAGAAGCTTAGTTAAGTCTTTCACAGAGACGGTATTACCCATTTCTGATCCCAGTCAGATCATTTCTAGGGACTGAAAAAATGTGTATCGTTAAATGTACGTAGTTAGGATGAGTCAGTTCTTTGCTAGTTTATTCAGATTCAGTCTTCCTACCAAAAGCCCTGTCTTGAAGGATTTCCAGATCCGTAACTCATGAAACAACAAATCATAACTTTTCTACTACTAGCCACTGGCTGTTGCTTTGTGTTTTGGAAATGCTTCTGTTCTTTGGCCATCTCCATTTTTGCTGCAATAGAGGGTAAACTGAGCCGTTAGGGTGTTTGCATAAATCCTAAATTACTCTTCCAGGACTCAGCACTTTCCACTGCATGCCAAAGGATTTTCTTGGCTAACGGCAGCCACCAGAGTACACACGTCTTCGTACAGTTCTCTTATAGTAGCATGTCCTGTGCTGGCCCTTGTGTCTAAATGAAAGTGAACCTTGTCAGTTGTTGGATACACTGAAAAACAGAGTGCAAGGGTTGTGAGACTGTTTGGGAATCCAGGTTTTCAGGATTGTTACTCCGCAGCAGTAGCATGACTTAGTGACTTCCCATATCCCACATCACTCTTCGAACAAGTCGGATTAAGCTAAATGTAAAATAAAGAGCGCCTTTATGGTATCTTAAGAATGGAGGTGGTAGTTGCAAAGTTTATAGAAGAGGGTGAAAAGACAACCATGCGTATGCCAAAGAATTATACTCGTCCTCTGGGTGGCCTAGCGGGTAGGTCTATAGACACGCATGGTCATCTAGATCTGGATCCTGCTCTCATTCCGCGGCATGGATCTACAGCTGTAGGTAATGTTCAGAGGAAGAGCTGGGCTGGGGATAATTCCCCCATAGGAATACTTTCGTACTCCAAAGGCATTTTGGGGAGTTTATCCAGATTGAATTTCTTCATCACGCCCACCTCTCTCCTCAGGGACATCCGTACCTCCATCGGGAAGGAGTCTCGGACTCCTTTATGGCAGACTACTGGCAGATCCCTCCTCTGTTTTGAAAACGCTCCTGGCCTTTGCGCTTCTCCCGGCACTACCCCTTCCTCTCCAGTCAGGCTGGTAAACCAGCCTGGTCACGGTCTGTCTGTCAGGCTGGAAAACGTCCCAAGCCCAGCGTGAAACTCAGATGTTTTGAACCCCCTTCCATCAGGACGCTCCTGCCCCGGGGGGTAGCCTGGTACTGAACACCCGCCCCCCCCCCCCCCCCCCCTTCTTTACGTGCCCCTAC